TACACGTGATCAATAAGTGTGCCGAGTTTCTGTAGTGGTTGACATACACACTGCGTAAAACCGTGTCTTGCATTAGCTTCATAATTGATGAAGAAACAAGGATATTTTGGTTGAAATCACCCATAATAATTGTTCCACCTTGTTGTTTATCTAGTTCTTCTAAAAGGACAAGCAAACTTTCTCTGAATATCTCTATCTGATATGATGCTGGTCTGTATATAACAGCAGCAGTTAAATTCAAATCAGTTAAACAAAATACCAAACATTCCATATTTGATATTGGCAAGTTCAAAATCTTAAATGATTTGTTACGTTTAGCATATACTGCTACACCACCATGACACTGATCTAACAACTTAGCTGTATTATCGGTAGTTATATTGTAAGAAAGACGTCTTGGTTTGTGATTAAAACTAAATCCATTCAATTGAATGTCAAAATCAGGTTCCCTGTCAGTTAACCATGTTTCAGTGAGACATATTATATCAGACACCAAGAATGTATTATCATTTTGAATGTCTTGAATATGGGACTGTAAACCCTGAATATTATGCATAATAAAAGTACACATGTAGTTTGTGCTTGACTGCTCAAATGAATCGGTGATGAACTTTGGCATGTTTTCCAATGCTGCTTGCACTTTCTCATTGCAATAAATTGCAGATTGTTTAAATTCCTGTACAATAAGTCCACTCAAAGTTGTTACACGACTTAAAGCCACATAAGCCTGTCCTGATGTAAAGATTTTTTTTAAGTTAACGACAGCTCTGCTTACAGTTAATCCTTGTACTTTATGGACTGTACAAGCCCAAGCTAACTTAAGAGGGAACTGTCTTCTGATACCACCATTTGGTGCAACAGTGTCTTCATTAACTTTAATGATAGTACTATTTTCTGGCAATGCTGAAGAAATTGCACTTGTTTTTCGTAACTTTTCACCCACTTTGGCATTATCGAATATTACATATATTGCAGACGGGAAATTATTCCCTGGTATCATAGTTATGTGACTTACAGTTCCAAATACACCATTAACTAGACCATCTGAAACATCTATGTTTTTTGTAAGTTGCACTCTTGCACCAGTAGCTAATGTTATACTTTCTGGTAACAGATTCATGTAAACCTTCTTATGGGGATTTTGATTCCTTTCCAGTTTACCTGTCTTTGCATTTTTGGTATAATCCTGAGCCTCAATATATACAGGATCTGTGCATAGCTTATGAAGCATCATTACATTGCATGCATTAACCTGTGCATTTGTACCAAAAATATGAATTGCATCACTCTCCTCACCGGTTTCTCGACCTTCAAGCATATCAACATCAATGGAAGACAGTGCCTCTCCTTTCTTATGAATTCGCAGCCTATTAAGTGTCTCAGCAAATGCAACATCTTTTTGTCTCATTATTTCAGTTAGTTCTGCAATCATGAAATTATCATTCCACAGATTAACAACTTCATTTCCAAGACATAATGAACTTCCTTTTACAGGTGGCAGTTGGTAAAAATCACCACAGGCCATGACACAAACATTACCAAATGGTGAATGACTGCTAGTTTGTTTAATCTGTCTCAATCGACCATGGATATAAGCAAGTAATTTGTGGTCCACCATGGAAATTTCATCTATCACTAGGATTTGAAGAGTGTTTAGCTTACAACGAACACTATTAATCTTGTCATTGCCCAGTGGTACATATGGTAGCTTTGCATTAACTGGTATTGATAAAGCACTGTGCACAGTCATACCTCCAATATTAAATGCAGCAACACCAGTTGGTGCTGTTAAAAGTACAGAAAGATCATCAGGATTCGGTAATGAACGAGCAAGAATGCGTGTAGCTTCATAATACACAGATTTGATCAAATGACTTTTCCCAGTTCCAGCTCCACCAGTGACAAACACAAAAAATGGATCTGGGTTCAATCCATTGTTTATATCCAAGCACCACTGTCGGATTTTGTAAAATATTTCAGACTGCTTCACATTCAATTTTCTCAGCATAGAGTGTCCCTCAATCTTTGACATTGAACAAGAAGGTACTACAACATGGCTATCTGAAATCTGTGGTTGTTCTTCTAGATCAGGAATTGAAGTGTCATACTCATTATCATTAGTATTTTTCTGTGCTTCTTCAAGGCACTCGATTCGTTCAGATTCAGTTTCTGGGCATATGTTTGCCCATGCATCTTCTAATTGTCCACATTCATCAAGTAATTTTGATGCAGTGTCAATAGCATCAGCTTCTTTCTCAAATAAGCTCGATTTCTGTCAACGATCAATTTAACCTTTTCCAATGGTGTATTCCCCAATTTAACTGCTCCATCTTGGTAAAATTTCAAAAGATTCAAATTCAACAGGTTTCAAATGTTTATCAATGCGATGAGGGAGAAAAAGTTGCAATATACTCTGATAATATTTCTCAGGATTCTTTGTCACTGAAAATCTTGCATACTTTACAACAGCAGGCTCACTTCTAGACCTTTTTTGCATATGACCAAGGTTATTTTTCAAAGTTACTGCTGGATTTTTTCTCTTCTCATTATTGACATTTGACATTTCAGATGTTGAAAGAACTCTGTACTCTGAGCAAAATGCAGCAAGACACAACATATCAAACTCTTGTCCATCTGGTCTAGCTTTGTATCTGTCAACTATGCTAGTCATCCATATATCATCTTCATCTACAATAGCACATTCATTTTGTTTTCTGATGACCTCAAATGGCAAACTCATTTTAACAGGATTGTCCCCAGTTGGAATAAACTGGACTTTTCGTGATGCCTGTTTCAGCTTCAGATTACATACTCTATATACAGCCTCTTGGGCACTAACTTCTCTGTTTTGAAGGTATACATTTCCTAACTGTTTTAATGCTTTCTTAGCATCAACATTGCCTTCTTTTGTAGCTTCTTTTTGAGCATGATCCAACAATAACCCCATTTCTCGTTCTGCTTTGGAAATGTAGGAAACAATATATACAACACAGGAATATGCATCAACAACAAACTGTATACATCCCAACAACGGAGTAGATCTGCATTATACTGATTCACCCATACATCATTTGGCTGTCGTTTCAAAACAACAGATGTTTTCTTTGTTAATAATCTATTTGCCTTTTCAAAGATTTCCTGAGTAATTCCTATATCCAAGAATAAAGAATCTACACTTTTATATTCTTTTTGATTATCTGAAAGGGCTTTCCAAACATTTCCAAGAATTTTCTTTGCACTTTCTTTTGTCATAGACAATTTATGTATTCCCATATCAGAATCTTCGTCATCAGTTACATCAGAATCTCCTTCTAAAACGTTTTTTAATTGCAACTCATCTGTTCCATTATCAGATCGACAAATGAATGACCTTGTGCAAGGAGGTCGTGGAAAATTGAACCTGCAATTTGTGCCTTTCTTCTTGCAAGATTTTGAATGCCTTGTGCTGTGTTTTTGGACTTTGTTTACAATTTCGTGCAATTCTGAATCCTCTTCTAGAGAAGGCATATTACAAGTTACATACTTGTCAACAAAATCAATCACTTTATCATCAGCATCATTGTCCACAATTGGAGCATTTTCCACCCAGAATAAGCAATGCGTGTGTGGTGAACCACGTTGTTGAAATTCTACTCTGTAAAAATAGTCTTTGATATGCCCAATAGGACGTGCTGAAGACATTATTACATGAGTTAAAAAATAATGGAATCTGTGATCAAACATTCTAGCTGCTGTTACTGGGTTCTGTCTTAGTATTTCACATTTCTGAGACCAATCAAGATCATTAGCAGAAGTGCTATAGTCACCCTGTTCATGGAGTATTGTTTCCACAATTTCCTTCCATCGCAAGTCAGCAGATGAAAATGAGCAAAACCAGGTCGGTATACCTAATTGCCTTATCATTGCAAAAATATCTTTTTGGGTAGCTTGCCAGTAAGGTGGTGTTCCTCTGATAGGTGTCATAAATTTGTAGCCTTCATCATTCTTTATAATTTCTATCAGTTTGTCTCGGTTTGTTAGAACCTTCGATGTCACTTTCTCACCTAAAGCAATACCATTTCCCTTTACGAAGAGCAATTGACACTTTTGACTGGACCTGCTCCAATTCAGACAAATATTGGGCATAGAATATAAAGTCTATATTTCTGGCAAATCTGCCATCAGCATTCATCAAACGTGTATGTAGATACCGTCCTAGTGTTATTCGAACCTCACGGTTGTCTTGAAATGTTGGGGATCCAGTTGGATACAATACTGGAAAGCACTTTGCTTCATTGCATTTGTCCATCAGGACTCTTACTGGTTTATTGTGCTCTGCTGGTGCAACACATACATCATCAAAGTGATAATCAAGAACTTCTTGACCTATGTCAAGTGGTGTAAGCAAGTGTCTACAAACATTCCATGAACATCGTCTGGTTCATTCTCTGTATCAGATGTTTCACTATGTTCTTCGTCAGAAGAGTTCTCATTATCTTCATTTCTTGATAGAGTGTTTTCCCAATCCACATTGAATTTTATATCTTTATACCATTTATTATTCTTTTGAAGATACACTAAAGCATTTTTGACATGACGTTTCTTAACACATTTAAACTGGTAGTGACCTTTGTATGTCAGTTTTCGCTTCAGTTTAACTCTTATTGTCTGATCCTCTGATTCAATTCTTGGTAAAAAGCTTGTTGCTTCCACCACACTCGATGGTACACAAACAACTGGCCCATGAACGCCTTTTTGACCACCTCTTGGCAAAGCCAACATTTTCAAAAATGGAATATGCAATGCTACTAAATGTTCCTCCAAATCATTGAGGCATTTTAATTCATTAGGAATAGTTTTCAAGTCAAGGTTGTTCACAACCGCTTCTGCAGGCATCTTTCCATGCAAAAGTTTCCTTAGACATGTG